CAAAACCCACTTCCTAACCTGAAAAATTATTATTATTCATTATTTTTCTTATTATTCTTTGTTCTTTATTAATTATTGGTTATTTTGTTTTAAAAATACTAATAATAGACAACATTAAAAATAACATTAACACAATAAGTAGTTGTTTTGTGTGTGTCAGTGTGTTTAACCATTTCCTGCTCTCTCTGTGAGGAAGCCCAGCATTGTTTGTAGTAGTCAATACCTGCTTTTTCTAATCAATACTTCATTAAATTATTGGTGTGCTGGTGATGAAATGTAATAAATCTATATGATCTATAAGACGGCTGGAGGCGTCCAGGAGAACTCTTTGCTCTTCATAAGAAGTTCTTGTCACTTTTCGCTGCGGTTATGTTTTCTGCCGATACCTTTCCACTCTCTTCAATCTCCCTCCCAACACATGCAATGGTATCCACTAAAGCGGCCACATCCAGATCCTCAGCTGCCACTCCGATGAATATACAGTTCTTCTCCTCGGTGAACTCGGGGCCTGCAGGACGAGGCAGCAGAGTTCATTAGACTTACACAGTGACGTTATACACAAGCTGTAAGTCTTACGAAGGTAAACAGACTGACCTGTCGAGAACTCCAGGTCAGTGTCCAGTTCCTTCAGCTTCTTCATCAGTTCACTGTTGATCTTCTCCACCTCCTGCTGCCTCTTTCCCTCCTCCAGGTCCGTCCTCCTGGGCTCGTACCTGCAGACATACCGTCCGTTCTCATACCCAAAACTCAGTACCCAGTTACCAAACGTGTACTTTATTATGAGTAATAAACAGCAAGTGTGAGAGATCTGATCTGATGTGCTTCAGTGTGAAGATATAGAGAGCAAAAAAACAGAGATTTTTTAGCAATAAAATGGAAAAACATTTATCTTATTGTTTTGTAGTTAAACCCACATTAAAGCCGAGAATAATCTTTCATTAAACCAAAGACAACCTTCTCAAAAGTTCATGCATCTAATATCAATAGTTGGAAAGTTATGACTGTTCAAGGTTTCCACATTTTGTCCTACAGCGCTAATTTTTTTAAAAGTAAAAATTAAGGCCACGCCCACTTTTAAAGCTTCTATATCTCAGAAACTAATGAAGACACACGTCTAGAGTTTATGTTCTAAATTAATTTATATTATAAATTAATTTATATTATAAATTTATATTCGATTGTGTGTCTACTGGACACAACAACATTATTTCTTTCAATTTTGCGTAATTCTGTGAATGAAAAAAAAATAAATAAAGGTTTCTATGTGCTTTGACTATGGAAATCCAGAGAGGCCATGAGCTCTATCTATAATTTTCTGGACTGTTATACTGAAATAACGAGTTAACTATCTTATGATCTCAAGATAACAAACTTGCTATCTTGAAATAACGAGTTAAGCATCTTGTGATCTTAAGATAACAAAAGTTGTTATCTTGAAATAAAGAGTTAAGTATCTTGTGACCTCAAGGTAACATCTTTGTAATCTTGAGATATGGAGTTAAGTATCTTGTGATCTCAAGATAAAGTTGCTATCTTGAAATAACGAGTTAAATATCTTGTGATCTCAAGATAAAGTTGCTATCTTGAAATAAAGAGTTAAGTATCTTGTGACCTCAAGGTAACATCTTTGTAATCTTGAGATAAGGACTTAAGTATCTTGTGATCTCAAGATAACAAAAGTTGTTATCTTAAAATAACGAGTTAAGTATCTTGTGATCTCAAGATAAAGTGCTATCTTGAAATAACGAGTTAAGTATCTTGTGATCTCAAGATAAAGTTGCTATCTTGAAATAAAGAGTTAAGTATCTTGTGACCTCAAGGTAACATCTTTGTAATCTTGAGATAAGGAGTTAAGTATCTTGTGATCTCAAGGTAAAGTTGCTATCTTGAAATAACGAGTTAAGTATCTTGTGATCTCAAGATAAAGTTGTTATCTTGAAATAAAGAGTTAAGTATCTTGTGACCTCAAGGTAACATCTTTGTAATCTTGAGATAAGGAGTTAAGAATCTTGTGATCTCAAGATAAAGTTGCTATCTTGAAATAACGAGTTAAGTATCTTGTGATCTCAAGATAAAGTTGCTATCTTGAGATAACGGGTAAGGTATCTTGTAATCTCAAGATAACAACTTTTGTAATCTTGAGATATTGAGTTAAGTATCTTGTGATCTCAAGATAAAGTTGCTATCTTGAAATAACGAGTTAAGTATCTTGTGATCTCAAGATAAAGTTGTTAAACTGTTAAGTTGATATCAATCCAGAAACTTATAGCAACAGCTCACGGCTGCTTCGGACTTCTGTATTTTGACAGATGGTTCTAAAACCCTTTAACTGGCATAGAACTTTATATCAAGCGGAGGTTCTTTAAACACATTTGGGTTTTGTAAATATAATAAACATCCACTGACAGGTTGTGGTTCTGCTGTGGCTTCGCTCCAAAGAATTCTTTTTATTAGTTCCCTTATTTTTAAGAGTCATAAAAGGCTTGATGTGCTACTGAGCTAAAAACAGAACACAAACAGTGCAGCATCAGGTTCTCTCGCATCAGGTTCTCTCTCAGTTCAGCGAAAAATCTAATTTACACAGTTTATACTCTACTTAGCCCAGATTTGGTCCATCAGCAAAGACATTTTGGATTAAAATATTGCTTTTTTAGTTTAGTGCAGGAGCTACAAAGCTAAGGGTTCTAGAAAGCACTGGAAGTCAATAGTCACCCAAATCTTTTCTGTAAATACATCCACAAAACATCTCTCAAACCGCATCTGAAGGTGGTGCTGACTTGTCAATGTGGTTTAGAGCACAGTATGACTTACTACAAGCCATATAAATAAAAAATCTTTACAGTGTAAGTGAACAGCACAGGCAGCCACTTCAGACAACAGGTGTTGTGCAGAATTTTGACTCTCCTCACCCAATCCAGCCCCCCTTTGTGTGCATGCTCGTCATGCAAGCATATAGATGCTAGATTAGCTTTGCAACTACTGTTTTCAAAACTGTTAATCTCAAATTTTCAAACTGAAGATATTCACTACATGGACAAAAGTATTGGGACACCTACACATCTCACCTACAGGACCTTTAATGAATCCCATTCTAAATCATAGGCATTAATATGGAGTTGGTTCCCCTTTGCAGCTCTAACAGCTTCCACTCTTCTGGGAAGCTTCTACAAGATGTTGGAGAGTCTGTGGGGAATTTTTGTCCATTCATCCAGAAGAGCATTGTTAGGTCAGACAATGATGTTGGACGAGAGGGTCTGGCTCACAATCTCCGTTCTAGTTCATCCCAAAGGTGTTGGATGGGGTTGAGGTCAGGACTCTGTGAGGGCCAGTCAAGTTCTTCCACACCAAACTCACCCAGTCAGGCCTTTATGGAGCTGCTTTGTGCACTGGGGCTCAGTCATGCTGGAACAGGAAAGGTTCTTCCCCAAACTGTTCCCACAAAGCTGGAAGTGTACAATTGTCCAAAATATCTTGGTGCTGAAGCATTAAGATTTCCCCTCACTGGAACTAAGGGGAAATTTTGGTTCATTTTTTTCTTAGTGAGTCATATTTACAAGCCTGCGCAACACTGAAGGGGAATTCCACTCATGTTTTTCAATATTTCTGTATAATTAAATGGTTAAGATGTAAACAGAGTCGTTCAGAGTGGTTTGGTGTGAAACGCTCTGTTCTAGAGAAACTGACCGAGTCAGAACTGTTCACAGTGGTGGTGATAGGAACCAGACGTCCACCTCTAAAAGCTCCCTCACAGAAAGTTACTACATGAAATGGTTATGAATTCACTGCCTGATGACTGAGACGCTGTTTTATGAGAGTTTTGAGAAGATTTTGGCCTTAAACTCCATTCATGGTGGAGGGATACATAATATGCAGGGTGCTGTGAGGCAAAATAGTCCCCAAAGAAAACTTATTATTTCAGATTTTCCACTATTTTCCATCATCAACATTCCATATAAACTCAGAAGACTCGTGTAGGTTCACTGGTGGTTCTGGATAGTAAATAAAATGTCTATATTTGTGTTGTAGTCATGGCAACCCCTGGTTCCTATCACCACCACTGTACATCTCAAACACTGAATTGGTGCAATCCCACTTTAATCAAGACCTGGATGTGGTTTGAGCAGGTTTGGTGATGTATTTACAGAAAAGATTTGGGTGACTATTGACCTTTAGTGCTATTAAGTGGCTGTTTAAACCTAAAGAAGCTCAGTTTGGACACCAAACATGTCTTGGCTGACCAACTACATCTGGAGTGAGTGCAGAGGTTCTCTGTCTCTGACCTGATAGCGCCGAGGCCAGGCCAGCTCAGGTCTTCTATGTAGCTCAGAGAAGCGTGCTGGAGCACTTCCTCTCTGAACTCCAGTCTGAAACGCAGCGTGCAGCTCAGCACAGGAACCAGCTCGGCCAGCTTCTCCACCAGCACCGTCACGTCCGACTCCTGAGTACCTAACGCTGCACAACACATCAGCACAGTCAGGAGAACTTCATACAGTCTTACTTATGAGGTTCCTAGCTCAGTTCTAGAACAAACCTATAGCCAGTCTAGCGCAGGGGGTGCAAAGATACACATATTTTGATGCAATTTTCAATCCTGTGGTAATTTTTTGAATCGATTTTGGATATTTTTTACGTTAACCGTCTCGATTGTACTGAACTCTGTATATTGTTCTGACTTCATTAAACACATTCTATTATAAAACAAAAGTGCTTGTGCAAAATACTAATCTAATACTAAAATATGCAATGCAACTGAGCCACAAACAATACACAAACAGATGTAACAGGATGTACATGCAGATGCTCAAGCCCCGCCCCCTCCACGCCCACTTTAATCTGATAGGATCAGATCGCCACTTTCCTTTTTGATTTTTCAGCCCTGATTAATTTTCACATGACCCTTTTAACCTTTCTTTATCCCTGAGAACTGAACACACTGTGCCTTTAACACTAATGTATGTAAATAAGCTCTGTTCTCATTGGCTGTCCTGAATTGTGCTTCAAAAAGCATTCCAGGCTGAGTTAACATAACTCAGATGGGCAGGGCTAAACTGCTATAGGCTGAACCAACAGGTTTAAATAAATCTTTGATCTTTTTTTGACATCAAAAAAAAAAACAAATTTAATACAGCTGTTTTTTTTGCAGCGTAGTTTCCATATATGGACTGTATGGACTGGCGAGTGAAAGGCATGCTTTGAAACTTGAAACAAACTTTCCAAACAATGATTAAATTCTTTTATAGCGCTGCACGATATTGACGTAAAATGCGATGTTCGTTAAAGCTGCTGGATATCGCGATGATGATAAGAGAAGCGATAAATTATTAAAGTAATGCGCCTCTGACTGCATGTGACACAGGTACAGTGTACTGTGTCTGAACACATCGGAATTAGACCTCCGCATTTAACCCATCCGTGCAGTGAAACACCATGTACACACTAGGGGGCAGTGAGCACACTTGCCCAGAGCGGTGGGCAGCCCTATCCATGGCGCCCGGGGAGCAGCTGGGGGTTAGGTGCCTTGCTCAAGGGCACTTCAGTCACGTACTGTCAGCTGAGGGAATCGAACCGGTGACCTTCCGGTCACAACTGCCCATGACTGCTCATATAGGCCAGGGGTTGGCAGCATGCATCTCCGGAGCCACATGCGGCTCCTTTACTGTCCTGTTGTGGCTCCACAGCTGAATCAGATTAGTAGGTATAAATAAAATAATCCTCCTTTACAGTAAAATAAAGCTCTGCTGATCGTTCAACACAGTTTAACAATAAATGGTCTTAAACTCTGGAGTTAATGTAGAACTGCTGATTCACCCTTTAACCCTGAAGATCAGCGCAGACTGCTGGTCACCATAGCAACACAGACAACAGTCTCGCCTAGCTAGTAGCTACGAAACGGCAAAGAGAGAGATTTAAGATGAACATCGATAATTTGGAGATGAATGGACTGATTAGTGTTTATAATCACTCCAGCTGGTTTCCTGATACGTTTAATCTGCAGTGAGAAACTGACAAACACTAAAAAGTCACGAAGCTGAAGTCGCTTCTCATTCGCCAGCTTCTTGTTCAAATTTTCCCGTTCCACCTTAAATGGTGCAGCAGTTACATTCTGGCGCCTCAGGCACCATTTAAGGTGGAACGAGAAAATTTGAACAAGAAGCTGGCGAATGAGAAGCGACTTCGACTGAGGAAACTGTTCTACTTTTGAGGAAAAGTTTCCTGCTGGAGATGCGAGAAAAGCAGCTGATCTAAAGCTTAAAGCAGAGCAAAGTCAGTCTGTGTTTTTGTTTATATTACATTGTTTAGTCTATATTAGTTCATCAGCACATACTGAGACACATTTACAGCCAAGATGGTAACACGTTACTTAATAAATGGACATGAAATGTTGTGTAATTATTAAAGCATAATCATTTAATATGCTTGTTGTGGCAGTAGTCATTACTGCCTCACACACTTACGACACTGCTTGTGAGATCAGTCCTATTGTTTGATGTGTTTTACAGGTGTGTGGTTCAGGATGGAGGCGTGTTTGAGCTGCTGTGTGTGTTCTGTAACTGGTCATTCAGCTGAATGGTTAAGTTACTTGTCCTCTGTGTGGGAGAGCAGGTGATGTAATGACGTCTCTCTGGCTCTGCGTATCTGGGGTAATTACATCTGTTCTGCTGTCGCCGCTCTAACGATGTGTTTATCACGGAAACTCATACAGCAATAAAAACACGATTTATCTTACAGACCTATTCCAGAATTCCAATGACACAGGTCCTCTAAACACACACATGTTGGACCGCTGGTGTAAATCAACAACACAAAGGGACACTGATGTTGCTGTGACTCAAACAGTGCGATACACTCAAATCTGATTACTGAACACAACTCTGCACAGTTAGGACAGAACTACAGCTCAGCTAATGGCCCTGAGGAGAAGCTAAAGTCCAGTTATGGTTTATGGCTGAGTTAACAATGAGGCAACTTCCTGATCTGAGTACGAACTCCTGCACGCTCTGCCACACCTCGCGCAAACATCCGTGTTGGGAAACACAGCGATGTGTCTGTGGAGAAGCTCACCTGCGGCGGTCATTAAAGGGTTAAAGCGCACACAGACTCCTTCATCCTCCAGCTCCACCACGTCCACTCCGCTGGCCGGAACATGCAGAGCCAACTGCTCACCCAGCTGAGGAGACATACGGTTATACAGCTTTCAAACCGAACTGAAAAATTCAGTCATAAATTCTTGATTATAAATAATGTAATTTAAATAAAAACAGGGAAAGTTTGAGAACGAACTAAGCTGGCTTGACAAACTGTTGCTATGGTATCCCAGGTGGTTGCTAAGGTGTTGCTAGGCCATTCCTATGTTATTCCAGGTGGTTGCTAAGGTGTTGCTAGGCCATTGCTATTTTATTCCAGGTGGTTGCTAAGGTGTTGCTAGGCCATTGCTATTTTATTCCAGGTGGTTGCTAAGGTGTTGCTAGGCCATTCTAATGTTATTCCTAGGTGGTCACTAAGGTGTTGCTAGGCCATTGCTATTTTATTCCAGGTGGTTGCTAAGGTGTTGCTAGGCCATTGCTATTTTATCCCAGGGAGTTGCTAAGGTGTTGCTAGGCCATTGCTATTTTATTCCAGGTGGTTGCTAAGGTGTTGCTAGGCCATTCCTATTTTATCCCAGGAGGTTGCTAAGGTGTTGCTAGGCCATTGCTATTTTATCCCAGGTGGTTGCTAAGGTGTTGCTAGGCCATTGCTATTTTATCCCAGGAGGTTGCTAAGGTGTTGCTAGGCCATTGCTATTTTATTCCAGGTGGTCGCTAAGGTGTTGCTAGGCCATTGCTATTTTATCCCAGGGGGTTACTAAGGTGTCGCTAGGCCATTGCTATTTTATTATAGGTGGTTGCTAAGGTGTCGCTAGGCCATTGCTATTTTATCCCAGGTGGTTGCTAAGGTGTTGCTAGGCCATTGCTATTTTATCCCAGGAGGTTGCTAAGGTGTTGCTAGGCCATTGCTATTTTATTCCAGGCGGTCGCTAAGGTGTTGCTAGGCCATTGCTATTTTATCCCTGGGGGTTACTAAGGTGTTGCTAGGCCATTGCTATTTTATTCCAGGCGGTCGCTAAGGTGTTGCTAGGCCATTCCTTTTTTATCCCAGGAGGTTGCTAAGGTGTTGCTGGACAATTCCTATTTTATCCCAGGGGGTTACTAAGGTGTCGCTAGGCCATTCTAATTTTATCCCAGGAGGTTGCTATGGTGTTGCTAGGCCATTGCTATTTTATCCCAGGTGGTCGCTAAGGTGTTGCTAGGCCATTCCTATTTTATTCTAGGTGGTTGCTAAGGTGTTGCTAGGCCATTGCTATTTTATTCCAGGTGGTCGCTAAGGTGTTGCTAGGCCATTCTAATGTTATTCCAGGTGGTCGCTAAGGTGTTGCTAGGCCATTGCTATTTTATTCCAGGTGGTCGCTAAGGTGTTGCTAGGCCATTCCTATTTTGTTCCAGGTGGTTGCTAAGGTGTTGCTATGCCATTCCTATGTTATCCCAGGTGAATGTTTAGGTGTTGCTAGGCCATTGCTATTTTATTCCAGGCGGTCGCTAAGGTGTTGCTAGGCCATTGCTATTTTATCTCTGGGGGTTGCTAAGGTGTTGCTAGGCCATTGCTATTTTATTCCAGGCGGTCGCTAAGGTGTTGCTAGGCCATTGCTATTTTATCCCTGGGGGTTACTAAGGTGTTGCTAGGCCATTGCTATTTTATTCCAGGCGGTCGCTAAGGTGTTGCTAGGCCATTCCTTTTTTATCCCAGGAGGTTGCTAAGGTGTTGCTGGACAATTCCTATTTTATCCCAGGGGGTTACTAAGGTGTCGCTAGGCCATTCTAATTTTATCCCAGGAGGTTGCTAAGGTGTTGCTAGGCCATTGCTATTTTATCCCAGGTGGTCGCTAAGGTGTTGCTAGGCCATTCCTATTTTATTCTAGGTGGTTGCTAAGGTGTTGCTAGGCCATTGCTATTTTATTCCAGGTGGTCGCTAAGGTGTTGCTAGGCCATTCTAATGTTATTCCAGGTGGTCGCTAAGGTGTTGCTAGGCCATTGCTATTTTATTCCAGGTGGTCGCTAAGGTGTTGCTAGGCCATTCCTATTTTGTTCCAGGTGGTTGCTAAGGTGTTGCTATGCCATTCCTATGTTATCCCAGGTGAATGTTTAGGTGTTGCTAGGCCATTGCTATTTTATTCCAGGTGGTTGCTAAGGTGTTGCTAGGCCATTGCTATTTTATTCCAGGTGGTCGCTAAGGTGTTGCTAGGCCATTCTAATGTTATTCCAGGTGGTCGCTAAGGTGTTGCTAGGCCATTCCTATCTTATTCCAGGTGGTCGCTAAGGTGTTGCTAGGCCATTCCTATTTTGTTCCAGGAGGTTGCTAAGGTGTTGCTATGCCATTCCTATGTTATCCCAGGTGAATGTTTAGGTGTTGCTAGGCCATTGCTATTTTATTCCAGGTGGTTGCTAAGGTGTTGCTAGGCTATTGCTGTTATTCCAGGTGGTTGCAACAGTGTTGCTAGAGTGTTATGTTATCCCAGGCAGGTGCTAAGGTGATGCTAGGCCACTGCTATTTTATTCCAGGTGGTTGTTAGGGTGTTGCTAGGCCATTGCTATTTTATTCCAAGTGGTTGCTAAGGTGTTGCTAGGCCATTCCTATTTTGTTCCAGGTGGTTGCTAAGGTGTTGCTAGGCAATTCCTATTTTATTCCAGGTGGTTGCTAAGGTGTTGCTAGGCCATTCCTATGTTATCCTAGGTGGTTGCTAAGGTGTTGCTATGCCATTGCTATTTTATTCCAGGTGGTTGCTAAGGTGTTGCTAGGCCATTCCTATGTTATCCCAGGTGGTTGCTAAGGTGTTGCTAGGCCATTGCTATTTTATTATAGGTGGCCGCTAAGGTGTTGCTAGGCAATTCCTATTTTATTCCAGGTGGTTGCTAAGGTGTTGCTATGCCATTCCTATGTTATCCCAGGTGGTTGCTAAGGTGTTGCTAGGCCATTGCTATTTTATCCCAGGTGGTTGTTAAGGTGTTGCTAGGCCATTGCTATCTTATTCCAGGTGGTCGCTAAGGTGTTGCTAGGCCATTGCTATTTTGTTCCAGGAGGTTGCTAAGGTGTTGCTATGCCATTCCTATGTTATCCCAGGTGAATGTTTAGGTGTTGCTAGGCCATTGCTATTTTATTCCAGGTGGTTGCTAAGGTGTTGCTAGGCTATTGCTGTTATTCCAGGTGGTTGCAACAGTGTTGCTAGAGTGTTATGTTATCCCAGGCAGGTGCTAAGGTGATGCTAGGCCACTGCTATTTTATTCCAGGTGGTTGTTAGGGTGTTGCTAGGCCATTGCTATTTTATTCCAAGTGGTTGCTAAGGTGTTGCTAGGCCATTCCTATTTTGTTCCAGGTGGTTGCTAAGGTGTTGCTAGGCAATTCCTATTTTATTCCAGGTGGTTGCTAAGGTGTTGCTAGGCAATTCCTATGTTATCCTAGGTGGTTGCTAAGGTGTTGCTAGGCCATTGCTATTTTATTCCAGGTGGTTGCTAAGGTGTTGCTAGGCCATTCCTATGTTATCCCAGGTGGTTGCTAAGGTGTTGCTAGGCCATTGCTATTTTATTATAGGTGGCTGCTAAGGTGTTGCTAGGCAATTCCTATTTTATTCCAGGTGGTTGCTAAGGTGTTGCTATGCCATTCCTATGTTATCCCAGGTGGTTGTTAAGGTGTTGCTAGGCCATTCCTATGTTATCCCAGGTGGTTGTTAAGGTGTTGCTAGGCCATTGCTATTTTATTCCAGGTGGTCGCTAAGGTGTTGCTAAGCCACATCATAGCTAAAAACAGCAGCAGCAGCAGCAGTGTATATCTCTATATATGCCATTTGATCAAAGCAGCTGTCCTTCACACAATGTGAACATCTCATGATGAATGGACCAATAGAAACACCCCAAACACCAAATAACTTTAAGCTTATTAAATTAAACGTATTTTCACTTGGAAACTGTGATTTGACCAGTAGTGTTCAAACACTTGCACACACCTCCACATCAGCCTGGCAGCTCCTGTACTAAGACAGATATCAGCCACAGAGTTCATTTAACACCCTTCTTATGCTGTAATCTCATTTAACTCCAGTTCAAATGATCTTAAACCAGGTTTACTGCCTTCTCGTCCTACAGACTCGCGTCTGTACAGTGATTCTGTTAATGAGTTGTGCTCTTACCCATCTGTTGAGGGCGTCCTGCGCCTCTCTCTCTCCTGCAAAATATCCCTCCACAGAGCCGCCACTGGACGCTGTGGGAAAAAAATCATACAGGGGTAAAAGATGATTTTTAAAGTGACTTTGTTTATGTACACTAATACTGCAGGTCATTTTGGCTGTGTTTATATATGATATCTCCATGTCTTGATGGATTTATCAGGGCGGATAAGATCAGACAGAAAATGCTAGATGAGATACTGAACTACTAAGAGAAGGAATGTGATCTGATCCTGAAACAGACTCACTCTCACCGTGATGTGTGGCTCTTCCTGAGTGGCTGAGTAGTTAGGTAATACTCAATACTAGTCAGGTAATACTCAGGGTATCAATATCAGTATCGGAAAAGAAAAGGTTCGTCCATTCGATCATTTCATTCGTTCATTCCACCAAACCATCTAACCGTCCATCAACCAATCCATCCATTCCTTTGTTCACCAATCCAATCATCTATTCACCCATCCATCCACCAATCCACTAATCCACCAATCCACCCACACATCCACCCACCGGTCCATCCATCTACTCACCAATCCATCCATCCATCCATCCATCCATCCAGCCATCCATTCACCCATACATTCAGACACCAATCCATCCATCCTTTAATGCACCTATCCACCAATCCACCCATCCCTCTACTCACCAATCCATCCATCCATCCATTCACACATCTGTCCACACACCAATCCATTAATCCTTTAATGCACCTATCCACCAATCCACCCATCCCTCTACTCACCAATCCATCCATCCATCCATTCACACATCTGTCCACACACCAATCTATCCATCCTTTAATGAACCTATCCACCAATCCACCCATCCATCTACTCACCAATCCATCCATCCACCCATCCATCAATTCACCCATCCATCCACACACCAATCCATCCATCAATCCACCTATCCATCAATCCATCCTCCAACCATCCACACATCCATCAATTCACCCATCCATCCATCAATCCACCTATCCATCAATCCATCCATCCACACATCTATCAAGCCATCAATTCACCCATCCATCCACACACCAATCCTTCCATCCTTTAAAGCACCTATCCAGCAATCCACCCATCCATCCTTCCAAACATCCACCCACCAATCCATCTATCCATTTACCAATCTGACAATTTACCCAATGCATCCACCAATCTATCCTTTCACCTGCCACCAATCCACACATCCACCCACCAATCCATCCATCAATCCACTCATCCTTTAATGCACTCATCCACACATCTTTCCTTCCATCTATTCATCAATCAACCCATCCAGACATGCACCCATCTATCCATTTACCAATCCACCCATCCTTTAATGCACCCACCCACCAATCCACTCATCCATCTACCAATCCACACATCCATCCATCCTTCAGTCCACCCATCTATCCATCCTTTGTCAAGAGAGAAAACAGAAACGTCACCTGAACTGTTATCTTGGGAGAACCTGAACACCACCACAGGAGAACTCAGCTCATCTTCCACCTGAAAACATGAAGAGAAAGGAAGAGAGAGAGAGAGAAGAGTGAGAGAGATAGAGAGAGAGAGACAGAGAGAGAGAGAGAGAGACAGAGAGAAAGACATGGTATCTAACACACCTTTTTGACACTTATATATGAATATGAATCTCAGCAGGAGTTTTTATGTCATGCAGTAAGCAGCACTCGTCTGTGGCTCGTTCAGGTTGAGCTTTAGGTCTGAAACATTCTGATGTGATGTCATGGAGAGTTTTAGTGTGAGGCGCTGGGCAGAGGGGTTAAACTGGACCACATGGCTCTCGACCTGAAGTCATGCACTGGTGCTGGAATGTTACGCTGGATCCATGAGTGACGTTCTAACAGCCTACGGTCAACCTTCTGAACAATGACCAAATAATCCGTACAGGACCTTCAGATACAGCCGTCAGCTCCCCGTTTTAAAGGGCCAAAACTGTTTCATTCCAAAATATAACAAGGAATATATATAATATAATATAATATAACAAGTTTTCTTTAATATGAAGTTTTTAAATTATTCACAGACCTGGTGAAAAACCAAGAACAGCCTCCCTCCAAGTGCTAACAGTATGAGCTGCGACAGGTTATGATGGGCATAAACAGCCCTGTCTATCACCGAAGGCTTACTGGAACACTGTCTCTTCCTCTTCCTTGTCTTTTCAGTCCACATTCCTTCCGATAACAAAAGATGAACGGAAATCTGAGCTTCTCCTGTCTGGTCAGCCGGCGGGCAGCAATTCAAAATGCTAAAAAAACCTGTTTGTGCTGTTTTTGAGGGTTTGATAAGATCAGCTTCAGAACCTGAAGAAACTATGAGTGTCACACCATTTCTGAACACTCATTTGTGTAGCAGGGAATAGTTCATGATGTCTAAAGTGTCATTACGAAACAAAAATAGCACCTCCTGCTTTTTAAATGTCTAACGAAAAATGTCATCTTTAAATGGCATCTTTTCTTTCCAGTAACTGAACTAAATCATAAATAATACAGCAGAAATCAAAATTTAGGTTTACACAGCTTCCCCTTTACACCAAATATAGACATTCAGACAAGACATGTTCGGTTTGCTTCTTTAGTTTTATGCTGCCTTCGATTCTTCAACGGAAGTTCCGACTTACGACTTTGGAGGTTGTAAATAGTCTTGAAGTGGTTTTGGTCGGAAACAGTCGTGCAGTAATGCTCTGTTTGTTTTTCTTTCATTGAAGACAGTCCGTTCATGCAGAACCGTAACCAGGATCAGAATTTTAGTGAGGTGTATTTTGCAGAAATGTGAGCTACATCTCAGAGTGAATAAACTAACTGCCAAACACGAGAATTACACCAACTTTAAGCTTCTCTTTTACATTTTTTTTATTTTTTAGCAAAATCACTGCTCCTTTTCCTTTTATTTATTCCTTCCCCATCCCTCCATTCCTCCACAAACTGCTATTACTGTACCACAAACTGATTTCACTCCTAAGTTTAAGTTGATTTAATTAATAATTTAACTATTTATTTCTGTTTATTTCTGAGATTTTTATCAGATTTTATCAGTGATTTCATTTATGCTTTCAAAACAATAATTTAACCTCAGTTTCGAGTATTTTGACCTCTCCCCATTCAAAGAGGGAGGAGTCTGGTCTTGTATGACTGGTGACGTAACGCTCAACGTGGCGTCTGTTTACGAGGAAAGTCCCACCCTCCTAGAGAAAAAGCCAGTCGGCTTGCTGGTTAAGCCATGCTAATTGGTGTACATTAGCTTCCGTTACTTGTTAGCCACGTTAGCCTCGTAGCTCCAGGTCTAAAACTAAAGAGACAAACTTCAGACACCAAACACGTCTCGGCTGATCAGCTACATCTGAGTTACAGCTGGGGGGCTTTAAACGCCGAACTGTGTCAGATTCGAATCCGCACATCAGTCCCTCAGAGTCAGGTCCAGCGCTGATGACCCGCAAATCATCAAAGCTCTATGAGGTGAGGTTTCCCCGGATGTTTGTGCTCATGCCTGATGCACTGATGGGTGAGAAAACCCTCAGAGCAGACGCCGTGCGGCAGGCGGACATGGTGAGGGAGGGAGCAGTGGGGAGACGGGGCGAGCAGAGAGAGAGAGAGAGAGAGAGCGAGAGAGAAAGAGAGAGTGAGAGAGAGTGAGAGAGAGTGGGGGGGGTGAGGGAGGAGTGAGAGTTCAGGCAGATAGAGGGTGGGTCCCACCTACAATAGAGAGAATGAGCGAGCCCAGGACGTCCCGCAGTGAAACCCCGGAGATAGGCGGGACCCGCGAGCGAGACACCAAACCCTGAAACCAACGGCACCCGGTTCTCACTAATACACACTACTGCAGAACCTCACACACACACACACACACACACACACACACACACACCACTGCCAACTAGAACTGGGCGATAATCTCATCTTTCAGTAACATCAACCATAAATTTATCACGACACATTCATTCAACTAATTCAGTAATTCATATCGCTTACTGTATAATTCATAGCAGATACTGAATAATTCATAATAGATACTGAATAATTCATAGCAGATACTGAATAATTCATAATAGATACTGAATAATTCATAGTAGATACTGAATAATTCATAGTAGATGCTGAATAATTCATAGTAGATACTGAATAATTTGTTATAAATCCTGAATAATTCATAGCAGATACTGAATAATTCATAGTATCTACTGAATAAGTCATAGTAGATACTGAATAATTCACAGTAGATACTGAATAATTCATAGTAGACACTGAATATTTCATAGTGGATACAAAATAATTCATTATAGATCCTGAATAATTCATAGTAGATATATAATGTATAATTCAAATATTTCCACCATGAATCCAGTTAAACAGGTTGTTTTTGTCATAATGCCTTTAAGACTGATATATGGTTCTCCTTATCCACCTTTCCCACAGTATGAAGGTATTCTACTACGCTATTGATCACTAAATGCTGTTCCCCGTATCGCCCAGCTCTATCACCAACACACACAGTACAGACTCACAACACTGGCTGCACTTTACCATGCTCAAAGCCTCGAGGAGAGAGAGTTCACTGTCGAGGACATCCTGATGATGGTGACAGGGAGAAAGGGCTGAGTTTCTCTCAGACTGAATGATTAAAGGACTAAAGATATGAGCCAATTTGATGAGTTCTTCACTAATAACACTCAAAGTGTCTCTGAATTACATGTTTACGTTATTCTTTTGGGAAAACTCACAGATGAGAAATTAAAAAGGACAGAAATCTTGATTATGTGGGTTTACACTGCCCGTCAGACGTTTGAGGACATCTAGCTTTTCAAAAAGGCATTTTTTCCTCTGTTGGTTTGCAATGATGAACCATATTAGACAGAAAGCTGTTTAGATTTTGCCATTTTTCTGTGAATACTGCCAAAGACCACAAATTAGGACGTGAACAGTTTCAGTCTTGTGCTTTTGACAAGAGTTTTGAAAGAAAAACAGTCAAAACATTTTCTGAAGCGTTGAAGATAAATACACCCGAAGTGTAACAGTGAAATATGAACACTATTAATCTAAAGTAAGAGAGGGCGAGGTGTCCCCAGACTGCTGATGGGCAGTGTACGGTACTGTATTTCTCAGAGAGGCTTTGTCAACAAGCTGCTGAAAGTATTAAAGTGTGCTTGTTTACTTACCGAGGTCTTTATGCAGTTCAGTGACTTCAGCTGCTCCAGTAGCTTCTGACTCTGTACAGCAACACATCGGTCAGGATGGTCAGCTGGCAATTAGGCCATGTTTACAGTGCTCTACATACAGCGGTTCATATTAGCACCAAATTTCAAATGATGCGCACTACTATTCCCCATACAGTACACTGCTACACCACTGTCATGCATTACAACTCATATAGTGCACTACTCCCTATGGAGTACACCAATACTCCCTATTCAGTGCACTACTACCCCCCAAATAGTGCATTACTACTCTTCATTTAGTGCACTACAGCTCTCTATATAGTTCACTACTACTCCCCAAATAATGCACTACTGCTGTCTATATAGTTCACTGCTATTCCCCAAATAGTGCACTACTACTCTTCATATAGTGCACTACAGCTCTCTATATAGTACAGTACTGCTCCCCAAATAGTGCACTAGTGCTGTCTATATAGTTCACTACTGCCCTCTATATAGTACAGTACTGCTCCCCAAATAGTGCACTACTACTCTTCATATAGTGCACTACAGCTCTCTATATAGTACAGTACTGCTCCCCAAATAGTGCACTAGTGCTGTCTATATAGTTCACTACTGCCCTCTATATAGTACAGTACTGCTCCCCAAATAGTGCACTAGTGCTGTCTATATAGTTCACTACTGCCCTCTATATAGTACAGTACTGCTCCCCAAATAGTGCACTAGTGCTGTCTATATAGTTCACTACTGCCCTCTATAGTACAGTACTGCTCCCCAAATAGTGCACTACTACTCTTCATATAGTTCACTACTACTCCCCAAAGAGTGCACTACTACTCTCTATATAGTTCACTTCTACTCTTCATATAGTGCAGTACTGCTCACTATATAGTGCACTTCTACTCCTTATCTAGCACACTGATCTCCATGTAGTACTACTCCCTATGTCATGTACTTCTGCTTTTTATATAGTGCACTACAACGCCCCATATAGTGCACTTGCGCTCCCCATATCGTGCACTACTACTCCCTATGTAGTGCATTTCACCCAAATAGTGAAATATACAGTGAGCTGGAAGTTTATTTTACACTGTAACATTCTATCTGTACTCATTGGCCATTTTATCAGAAACACCCACAGCTGTATCCAAACGCTGAGTTTAACACTTTGGAAACAAACAAAACACAAAATGTAAAAAGTGCCGTGACTTTTGCACGGGCTACGTTTTACGTTTTAGTTGGTCAATTTCTGATCACAGGGCCGCTGTTGCCCAAACATTATTTTGGCGGTGGATCATTCTCAGCACAGCAGTGACAGCGACATGGGTGTGTGCGCAGTTTGTGTTAGCCATCCTCTAATTCTTTATAATTGGTCAGTTTCTGACCACAGAGTTGCTCTTAGCTGGATATTTTTGGGTGGAGCTGCACTCTAAACCTAGCAGTGACACTGGCGTGTCTGATACACTCATACCAGCACCACATACACTACCATGTACGTGTCACTGCTGTGCTGAGAATGAAACACCACCCAAGTAATATCTGGACCACAGTGGTCCTGTTTTCAGAAACTGACCAACGATGAAGGAGTAAAGGGGGGCTGCAGTCTGTAAGTGTAAACCTACAAAGAGCACCTACACGGTACAAAATGTCCAGTGATCGTTGATACTAGGGTAGACTGGAACCTCAGTGTACAGTACTATTTGGTTTTTAGGACCTATCTAGTACGCTATATAGTGAACAGGGACGAAATTTGAGATGTGTACTCACGAGTTGGGACGCATGCCTAATCTTCTCTACAATCCCATCATGCCCCAGGTACTGCAGGGACAGCCAGAGGGGCAGAGCACGCAGCTTCTCCACCGGCTGACTGGACGTTAGACCTGCTGCAAGAGACTAAGGGAGGGAGAGGGGGAGAGAGAGGAGAGAGAGAGACAGAGAGAGAGAGAGAGAGAGGAGAGAGAGAGAGAGAGAGAGAGAGGAAGAGGGAGAGAGAAAAACTTAAAAACATAGAAACTACGAAACAACACATATGGAATATAAATTTGTCTACTAGACAGCAAAAAATATCTTTCAAACTAATTAAATCGAGTCAAATATATAAAAAAATGTCTCATTTTGAAATTTATTGTATAAACATTACACAATTATATAACCTATTTCCAGACATTTATACCTTTTTTACATTATTTTATCTGGTGAAATTATTGGTAACACTTTCTATGAATGTCACCTTTGTAAGCATCTATAAACACATTCATAACATGTTATAATGCATTCATAAGACATTATAAACATAGCTATAAATATTTATAAAAATGCATCATACATTATAGCCATGTTTATTTTGCATTATGAATTGTTAACATAATACATTATAAGTACTGTTCATAACAAGTTATAAGAACTCATAAGTCGTATTTGTCCGCTCTAAGTAAAGTGAAGCGTACTGTACTAAAGCCTCCTCCAGTGTTCAGAGTGAGGCTTCAAGTTGAAGTATTTACTGAAGGATTTACTGAAACACTAAAACATTCACAGTAAAGCACATTACAGGCTTCAAATGTCAGAGTTTAAACTAGAGCTGCCATCAGTGTTTTACCCAATGTGGGAAAGGTAATGTTCACCACCGTTAGCTTGGTATTTGTCTTTACTTTACGCTCTCCAAGCTGGGACTGACTTCTTTGGCACTGACATTATAACATGTTATTAACACTATTTATAATGCATTATATTAACAATTCATAATGTATAATAAACATGGCTATAAAGTGTAATTCAGTGGTATTCTTTTTTATAAATATTCACAACCACGTTTATAATGCCTTATGAATACATTATAACATGTTATAAATGTGTTTATAGATGCTTACGAATGCGACATTCATAGAAAGTGTTACCGAAATTATCTTCTTCTATTGGGTAATAATTTTGCTACATCATCTACATTTTGTCCTGGAATAGGAAATGTTATCTGCCAATGAAAATCAGACAATTTCAGTGGATAAAATTACTTAAAACAAGTAAAATGTCTAGAAATAAGTTATAATATTCTTACAACAATCTCAAAATGATAAATATTAGATGTACTGAAAAGATTTAAGATGTTTTCACTTGTGAAGATACCATTTTTTGCAGTGTAGGAACTAATAACAAGCGTTTGAGTATAAGCTTTTAGATAAAAATATATTTAAGGTTATGAAAAGTGGCTCACACACCTGACTGATACTGTATGTCTAAAGTGGAGTGAAGTGAAGAAAACTAATTTGTGTCACTCAAATCTCGATTAGGAACCGTATGGTTAGTTTTCAAAGTCAGTCAGCTTCTTTTCTCTTCCTTTGTGGTTTCTCAATGTACTTCTTCCGGTACAGTAATGTGGATTTACTAACCAGCGCAGGGTCCTCATGTCTGTAGAGTGTGACGGCCGGTACAGCGGGCAGCCCGAGCCATGGGCCGGGGGTCAGAGTCATACTGTCGCACTTAGTGGCTGCCTGGAAACACATGCAAAAAAGAAATCAGACTTCTTATTTTAGAAGAGACACAATGATCATCCCATTCAGACAAACTCCAACAAACCTCAACAGCCCACTGAGCCCATTTATGGGTCTATTTATGGGTCAGTGACACAACATGCATTTTTGTGTCCAAGTCCATTATTTTCCCCAAAATAATTTAATAAATACATGAAATATATTGAATTACTCAACAATACCTCTTTTATGTCAAACAGTGTTCAGTGCATCCATATAAAATTCATTTTAATTTCTTTTAAAACTCTAAAAAAGTCTGAAAATGTCAGGTGGTGTAACTGTCCAACCATACATGCTGACTAAGTAAACCATTAAAAAAGGTAAATTAGTTATACAAATTCTAAATGAAACAGTTTGGCATGATTTTATGTCTGAAAACCTTGAAATAAAAACCATGTTGCAAAAATAAGGCAACTCAATTCAACTCACTGAAACACTTTTGTCCGCAAGTTCACAAACTTTTATTATGACATGCTTTAACATAACAGGGGCCAGTGTATTGCATCATAAAGAACACCCACGTGACCTTCACGGTGCAATGCCGAGGTCACAGATTTAGTAAGAGTGTGATGTTTGAGTCGTGGTTAGAACAGCTCAGTTTACCATGTTAGGTGGTCTGACCTCAGGAGAACCATAAACATGTGGAATTATTATAACAGTTTTTATTTATTTAAACAAAATGTAAGTATAAACTCAAGTTGAAGGACAAAGGTTTCTACGGGTGTCTAAGTAGACACCTGTTTGATATGAAATTAGTCTGAAAAGTCAGGTGGCGCAACCAGTCAGTCAGATAGAGCAACCAGACCAGCACAGTTTAACAACTAAAACAGGCAATTAAAGCTTTAATAAGTCAATATATTTAAGATATAACATGAACATGGATAGAAATGCAAATATATGAGCAGATTTAAAAGTGCACATCATGTCGTTTTAATAATAAGATTCATTTTGATTCGTCATTTGTCATTGACCCATATAATTTGTGGTTTTATGTACCAAAAACAGTCATAATTCATTTTTTTTAATATTTTCCATCCTTTTTATCCCACAGAACTAAACACACTGTTTTTGTTACTGCGCATTTAAGGCCAATATATATAAATGGCCTCTGTTCTGATTGGCTGCCCTGCATGGGTGGTCATATGTAAATGTATCCATAGCTGTGACATCGCAAGGTGGGCTGTTTGGCAGTCTAGTTCCCATATATGGACTGTATGGACTGGAGAGTGAACAGTCCTTTTTAAAATGTCCAGTGAAAGAACTGACAAGCCAGATTAAGTGAAGGGGGAACATTCTAGAGACCCCCAGTTAACACACACAGGTACGGCCCACCGGCCCAACATCTAATCCAGTCAGGATTTCTTGGTGTCTGTACTATAAGCATAGAAAGTGCTTTAAATATAAAAAATGTAAATAATAAAATAAGCAGCTTACTGTGACTGCGGAGGAGATGTTTCCAAGCACCAGCGTCGCCAGGTTGACGCTAAGAAACACAGAAAAATGAAAGTCATGAATAAATAATAAGAGTCCGTCTCTCAAAAGCACTGACGTGGCTAGCAGTGACGCAAAGGTAGCGGAAAAACCAGAGGAATGTTTGGAGGAAAATTGTGTCATTTTAACTTTTGGCCAAACTGCAGCTTCAACATCTGAAACGTGAAAAAAGAAGTTTCTGTAAGTTACTAATCAGGCGCACTGACCCTTCAACATGGAGCCACACGTTGTACTGCACACACAGCTCCTTCAGACGGCTCAGTTTATCCGTATGACCTGCACCCGGCGTTCCTGCAGAGAAAAAAGTAGGAAAATGTATTATATTATGAATATTTGAACTAAGCCTGTCACTTAGAGGTCCGCTACCCTGACTCCAAGCTCAACCCGATAAAAAATACATTTCCGGGCCGTGTTCGGAACGTGTTCCGTTCGTTCTGCTGAGCTGAGTGTTTATACTGGATGACCTGCAGCTGGTGTGTTTGGTGATACGACCAGGATGGTAGAAATCGAGGTGTAACCGTGGTCCAGTAGATTTCTGTTCGGGGAGGGGGGGTGGTGCACACTGGGCACTGTAACGCAGTGCACTGTGAAGTGTTACTGCAGTGCTGAGAATGAGAATGATCCACCACCCAAACAGTACCTGCTCTGTGAGGGTCCATGGGGGTCCTGACCACTGAAGAACAGGGTAAAAGGGGGCTAACAAAGTATCAGAGAAACAGATGGACTACAGTCTGTAACTGTAGAACTGTGCAAAAAGTGCACCTATATAGTAAGTGGAGCTGATAAAATGGACAATGAGCGTAGAAACAAGGAGGTGGTCAGAATGTTATGCCTGGCTGTCTATATCACATATATGATACATACACGCACTGACTGTATTATGATAAATACGATATATTCACTCATTAACTATATATGATATTAGGTATTAATAAACTTGATATTGCGGCAGTTTTATGGCTCAGTCCGATTCGGTCAGACTCTGAAGATCAGACTACACGTTTGGCGAATGGTGTTGGGTTCATTTCTGGCTGATTCCAGGTTGTTCAGCTGTTCTTCTGTCTCAGCTGCCGACTGAAAAGCTGCTCAGTGGTGATGACAGTTTGGGAATTTAGTGTAAGGAGCTGGAGAACGAACTGCCGGCTGTGCACTGAGTGGGCGGAGCTCGTTACTCAGACGTAGCAACAAGCTGCTCGTTAAGGAACTATAATTTGGTGAAGGATCTGCGAACATTAAAACATATTAAACGCCGCGTTCACGGCCCAGTTTATTAATTTATTACTTTATTTATTTAACTGCTGTATTAAAGCAGTAGAACACTCGAGGAGTGTGTTATCGCCAATAACATCACGGCTGTGATGATCTACGGCGACCAAATCACAGTCGTGATGTTATTTCGCGATAAGCAAGCAAAGTTTATTTATATAGCGCTTTTTACAACAGGGGTTGTCACAAAGCAGCTTTACAAAACAAAAAAAAATCAACATTATAAAAAGAAATCCGGGTCCGAGCCCCCATGAGTGTCGCCAGTGGCGACAGTGCCAAGGAAAAACTCCCTAAGAGAAACAGGAAGAAACCTTGAGAGGAACCAAGACTCAGAAGGGGAACCCATCCTCCTCTGGTCGACACCGGATAGTAAACATTGTTAGTACAAAAACGGGAAAACAGGTGGAGCAAATGAAATGACATAACACACTCCCTCTCGGGTTCTATTGCTTAAATAATCATGGACTGTATATATGATGTGTATGACATATACACTGGTTGGAACATGCAGCCACTGTTGCTCTCACTGGATGTCATTTAGGAAAACCAGATCACTGGATTTTCATTCACATCATGAAAATAATGTTACTGAGTTACTGAGTGTAACTAATACATTCTGATGAAGCTCATTCTGTCCACTTACAGTCATAACAAAATGCACTGCTTTTAAAATGAAAACAAATCTTTGTTTTAATATGAGCAAATGAGACAAATGTGATTAATCAAGATTAACTACTGTGATCATTTAACAGCCCTAATTTTAATATATCCAAATTATGCTGGTTATGCAAAAAATGATGAGATCAGGTATGGAACTAACCAGCGTTTGCTATCAACAGCAAAGGAAGCTTCCCGGTCTCCACGTCGTCTCTGATCAGCTTGTCCAACAAGGCGATGTCCTGTCAGGAAAAAAACAGCTAAATGGTAAAAAACTACATTTCTTCCTCAAATAAAAGAGAAAAGAAAAAGAAAAACAGATTCCCACCATTTGGTGCTGAGATCCAAACATGGTGTTGCAGGGCACAGCGCAAAGGCTGGACAGGGGCAGACCGAGCTGAAAACAAATACACACCTTGATCAAAATTACTCCATCATTACAAGAAACACCTTTCCTGACTTCTTTACAGTGGTGGTGATGGGAACCAGGGGTCGCCATGACGACAACACAAATATAGACATTTTATTTACTATCCAGAACCACCAGTGAACCTACACGAGTCTTCTGAGTTTATATGGAATTTTAATGATGGAAAAAAGTGGAAAATCTGAAATAATAAGTTTTCTTTGGGGACTATTTTGCCTCACAGCACCCTGCATGTTATGTATCCCTCCACCATGAATAGAGTTTAGGGCCAAAATCTTCTCAGAACTATCATAAAACAGTGTCTCAGTCATCAGGCAGTGAATTCATAACCATTTCATGTAGTAACTTTCTGTGAGGGAGCTTTTAGAGGTGGACGTCTGGTTCCTATCACCACCACTGTGAACAGTTCTGACTCGGTCAGTTTCTCTAGAACAGAGCGTTTCACACCAAACCACTCTGAACGACCCTGTTTACATCTTAACCATTTATTTATGCAGTACTTAAAAAAGAATAGTGTAATTCTCCTTAAAACTAAGCTTTCAGATTCTCCACACTCTCAATACCTACATTTAGAGTCAGTTATTCATTCAACCTAATGAGAAACTGTAGAACTGACTCGGTTTATATCACAATACCTACATTTAGAGTCAGTTATTCATTCAGCCTAACGAGAAACTGTAGAACAGACTCGGTTTATATCACAATACCTACATGTAGAGCCATTCTCTCAGACTGACCTAAAGTGAGTGTGTGTAAACGTGTACCTGGCTGCACAGGTGCTGTCCCAGGCCGGGTCTGCAGGCAGCACTCTGGTAGATCACGGGCTGTTTGGAGCTGAGCACGGTGAAGCCCTCTGTGGCGTAGTCCTCATAACGAGCGTTAATGACCAGCCTGCACACCTTCACCAGCCCCTCGCGGTCATCCTCATGATAATAGCCCGAACCGTTTTCATACCTACAGACAAGATCACACGCATGTGGGTTCAGTTTCAACAGCAGCAGCAAACACGATGCTTCATTTCAGTGATGAACTGTTTTCACAGACAGTGGTTTTCAGAAGTGTTTCTGAGCCCATGCAGTGATTTCCACTACAGAATCATGTCTGTTTTTAATGCAGTGCTGCCTGAGGGCCCAAAGATCACGGCCAGCAAATACTGGTTTTTGGCCTTGTCCCTTACATACAGAGATTTCTCCAGATTCGCAATAGCAGCTCAACAGAGACTCGAGTGTCTCTATAGGAGAGACCTGTATAATCTTTTTACTCTATATGTTCACTATGTGTCTTTATAGTCATTTAGGCCCAGTCCCATTTCCTCTTTTTACCCCTACCCCTTGTTTTCGAGTGTCTCCCTAACCCCTTGAAGCTGAGTTACAGGGTAGTGGTTGAAATCTTCCCTCTGAAATGGGACCCTCAAATAAAAAGAGCATCACTTCATTAACAGCTACCAGCGCTGCTCTGTAGGCGACCCTGCCAGTCTGCAGTGACAGCAGAGGAGGGTAAAGTTCAGCTCCTCACTGCTGGGCTTTAGTTACATTTAGGGCATCATATGCCTTCAAAGAGGGGGGCAATTATTTATTATCACCCACCCCTAATTCTTCAGTGATGTGAAGCTGAAGTCAGATATTCACCAGATTCTTGTTCGAATTTTTCCGTTCCACCTTAAATGGAGCAGCAGTTACATTCTGGCGCTTCAGGCAGAAGACAAATACTATTAGTGATTTTTTATGCTTGTCATGAAGAAAATGATCATAATACATTGAAACGACATTAAACTAAGATAATAGGTTGGTTATCATAATTTTTTAACAGAGAAAATTCTCACATTTGTGGGTTTCTTTGGTCTCTTGTTCTCCATCTTGCCGTTTTTTCATTTTTTTTTCTCATAACTCTCTGTTTGGAGTCTCTGAAAAACCATATAGGGCCATGTAGCCCCAACACTTCGCCCCACCCCTCTATCTCAACAAGAATCAGGACTCCCTACCCCTAGACATGAACGCGCAAAACAGAGGGCTAAGGGCTGAGTGGTAGGGGCGAGGGGTGAAATGGGACTGGGCCTTAGAGCCAGTGTGTACAGTCTGTGCAGTCTGTGCAGTGAATTACGTAGCAGCTGCTGCTGAACTGCATGTTGCTGTGTGTGACTCTGTGAGTCTGTAATGTTTTAGCAGTCGTCTCATGGGAGAGGGGTAAAGGGTGTGGGGGGTGTGGGGGCTTATGGTGGTTGGAGGGAGGGCCACTGGGGGCGAGGTGTTCAGAGCCCTGACGGCCTGGGGGTAGAAACTGTTCAGCAATCTGGTCGTCCTTGGTTTCACACCCCGAGACTGTGCTGTGGGCAGGTTGTTCTTGATTATCTTGTGGGCCTTCCTGAGAACCCTGGAGAGGTAGACGTCCTCTAGTGGTGAGAAGGCCATTCCAGAGATTGTCTGGACTGTCCTGACCCCGCCCCGCTGCAGACACCTGTGGTCCCGGGTGGAGCAGAGTGTGATGGAGCTAAGTTCTAACGTGCACACCTGATTTTAGCCTTTAGCTGAGTGTCTTGGCGAAGTATTGCCGCTGCGTTCCACTGTGCATACCGACCCTACCTAAAGGGTTCTTCACATGGTGAAAGTGTTCTTCGGACTGATGGAGAACGTGCAGTAGATGGTTCTATACATAACCTATTTGAAAAGGGTTCTATATAGCACCAGTTCATCTACTGTGACAAGCTTGACATCATAACAATAGCAGAACCTTTTTAGTGCTATATAGAACCCTTTTCAAAAAGGTTCCACACAGAACCATCTACAGCACATTCTCCATCAATCTGAAGAACATGTTGTATATTTACATATACAACATTACATACACACTTAAAAACTGGTTCTTCAAGGGTTCTTTAGTAAAGAAAATGGTTCTATATAGAACCATAAACACTCAAAGAACTGTGGATGGTGAAAGCTTTCTTCAGATTGAGGTAGAATGTGCTGTAGATGGTTCTATATAGAACCTTTTCAAAAAGGGTTCTATTTAGTACCAAAAGGGGTTCTTCTACTGTAACAAGCTCAACATCGAGACAAGAGCGGAACCCCTTAAAAGCCCTTAGAACCATGAGCACTCAAAAAACCCCTTGCATGCTTAAACGGTTCTTTGCATGGTGAAAGTGTTCTTCGGATTGCTGGAGAACCTATTTGAAAAGGGTTCTATATAGCACCAAAAAGGGTTCATCTACTGTGACAAGCTTGACATCATAACAACAGCAGAACCTTCTTGGTGCTACATAGAAACTTTTTTAAAAAGGTTCCACATAGAACCATCTACAGCACATTCTCCATCAGTCTTAAGAAGAACACTTTCACCATGCAGAGAACCATTTAAGCATGCAAAGGGCTTTATAAAGCACCACAAAAGGGTTCTGCTATTGTTACACTGTCAAGCTTGTCACAGTAGAAGAACCCCTTTCGTTGCTATATAGAACCCTTTTTGAAAAGGTTCCACACAAAACCATCTACAGCATAGTCTATATTAATCTGAAGAACCCTTTCCCCATGCAAAGAACCCTTTAATCATGCAAAGGTAATGAGTGCTCAGGGTTCTAAGGGCTTTATATAGCACCAAAAAGGGTTCTGCTAATGCTAAGCTGACGTCAAGCTTTTCAAAAAGGTTCTCTGTAGAACCATCTACAGCACATTCTCCAACAATCTTAAGAACACTTTCACCATGCGAAGACATCATAACGATAGTAGAGCCATTTTTAGGACTACATAGAACCCTTTTCAAAAAGGTTCTATATAGAACCATCTGTAGTTCATTCTCCATCAATCTGAAGAACCCTTTCCCCATGCATTTAATCATGCAAAGGTAATGAGTGCTCAGGGTTCTAAGGGCTTTATATAGCACCAAAAAGGGTTCTGCTATTGTTATGATGTTAAGCTTGTCACAGTAGAAGAATCCCTTTTGTTGCTATATAGAACCCTTTTCAAAAAGGTTCTACATAGAACCATCTACAGCACATTCTCCATTAACCTGAAAAACACTTTCATCATGCAAAGAACCGTTTAAGCATGCAAAGGGTTCTTTGAGTGCTCATGGTTCTAAGGGCTTTATATAGCACCAATAAGGGTTCTGCTGTTGTTATGATGTCAAGCTTGTCACAGTAGAAGAACCCCTTTTGTTGCTATATAGAACCCTTTTCGAAGGACAGCACATTCTACCTCATTCTAAAGGATGCTTTCACTATGCACAGTTCTTTAAGTGTTCATGGTTCTATACAGAACCATTTTCTTTACTAAAGAACCCTAGAAGAACCATCTCTTAAGTGTGTTTCATGTTGTATATGTCATATTTTAAGACTTCCTGATTAAATAAAGGAAAATAAAAGTAAATAAATAAATAAATAGATAAATAAATACAACAGAGAGCTCCAGCTGACTGACAACTGACCTGAAGAGTCTGCAGAGCCAGAGGGTTGTATCTGAGAGGATGCGAGTGGTCAGTTTTCTCAGCCTGTCTTTGTCCAGGACGGAGATGTAGGCGGCCAGGCTGTGTCCCAGTAAAGCCATGTGTCCCTGCTCTCCGACGTACTGCATCCTGCTGGAGAAACATATGTCCAGATGTTACCGTACGCTCAGGTAACGCCGTCCCATCGACTGAACTACGATGATAGAGTTACGGCTGAACTGCTTAATCAACTTATGGGGCAGATTTACTAAACGAGGCGCTAATTACGGAGTTTGAGCCGCTGTTGGCGGCGGCTTCTCTACTAGGAGCTGCCATGAAAATGAACAAAAGCACTGGAGGTTTTATTCGTCTGTTTCTGGTTCAAACTGTGACTCATAAGGTCGAAATAAGGATTTATATTCTCAAAACTCTAAACAAGTAATGACTAAGTCAAGCCAGCATTGGAGAAAGTGTGAGGTCATTTCAACATAAGTCACTGTTGTTTTTAAAATACTACGTTTATTAAGTTTCTTTCAACATGAGAATCAATCATCACACATGCAGTATACACTGACCAGGCATAACATTCTGACCACCTCCTTGTTTCTACGCTCATTGTCCATTTTATCAGCTCCACTTACTATATAGGTGCACTTTGTAGTTCTACAGTTACAGACTGTAGTCCATCTGTTTCTCTGATACTTTGTTAGCCCCCTTTTACCCTGTTCTTCAGTGGTCAGGACCCCCATGGACCCTCACAGAGCAGGTACTATTTGGGTGGTGGGATCATTCTCAGCACTGCAGTAACACTGACGTGGTGGTGTGTGTTAGTGTGTGTTGTGCTGGTCTGAGTGGATCAGACACAGCAGTGCTGCTGGAGTTTTTAAACACTGTGTCCACTCAAGGTCGGTCCACCTTGTAGATGTAAAGTCAGAGACGATAGCTCATCTGCTGCTGCACAGTTTGTGTTGGTCATCCTCTAGTCCTTCATCAGTGGTCAAAGGATGCTGCCCACAGGACGCGGTTGGCTGGATATTTTTGGTTGGTGGACTATTCTCAGTCCAGCAGCGACACTGAGGTGTTTAAAAACTGATCCACTCGCACCAGCGCAACACACACTAACACACCACCACCTCAGTGTTACTGCAGTGCTGAGAATGATCCACCACCCAAATAGTACCTGCTCTGTGAGGGTCCATGGGGGTCCTGACCACTGAAGAACAGGGTAAAAGGGGGCTAACAAAGTATCAGAGAAACAGATGGACTACAGTCTGTAACTGTAGAACTACAAAGTGCACCTATATAGTAAGTGGAGCTGATAAAATGGACAATGAGCGTAGAAACAAGGAGGTGGTCAGAATGTTGTGCCTGGTCAGTGTATTCTGCTCCTTTTATGCTATATTAAGATATCGTCCTATTGCTAACACTCGTTATTTGAGGATGGAGATGGTCTTAATGTTATGCCTGATCAGTGTAAGTCACTGTTTCTGAGGAAAATAAGACATTATCTCAACATACGTCAGTATTTAGAGAAAATAAGTGATTATTATGACTGTCTGTTTAGAACCACACGTTCAGTGTCTGCTTGTGGGATAAGATGACCTTCAGTTCTGGGCGTCTGGAAACCGTGCAATGCTACAAACCCCTGTTTAAATTCACTCTCGGCTGTTTGAGGATGATATGGTTTAGGATGGCTTTCAGCTCAACCTCTTAGCCACATGCAGCGCTTCAGTGAATGACTGACATTTCTGCCACATACACTTCTAAACCACAGTGCCTACTTAAACCACAGCGCACAGCAGCCACAGCGCTCACAGAAACCACAGCACAGGAGTAACACAGCAAGGACTTTCAACACCTGCTTTTACACATGGTTTGGAAAAAAAACCCGTCAGACCATAATTTAGGCACAATGTGTTCTTTGGTTGTGTTAATATACCCAAAGTTTTAGAAGAGAACAGTTTAAAATGGTCAGGTTAAGCATAACGTGACACGGCAGGTGTTTACAGGTGTTTTTCTTTCATGAAAATTAAATAAATGAGTCCCTCTTTTCTCTCTGAGCATAAACAGCACTTCACTCTCAGTCTCAGTACATCAGAATGAAAGCTTCATTATAATAACCTCCTCTCAGTACTCTGAGAGGGAAACGCCCACAAATGCATATGCAATGAGGCAAATGAGCGCAGCTCCGCCCCTTTGGTCTTATTATGAGTGCTAAAGCATGTTTAGTAAATCACAGCAACCACTTTCAGCACCAAAATGGAGTTACAGAACGTTTAAAATGTCCAGTCTTCGTACTGAAGCTTAAAGCGCAATATGTTTAAATAATATCTACAAACCCATTTCCAAAAAAGTTGGGACGCTGTGCAAAATGTAAATAAACAAAATGAGATGATGTGCAAATCATTTAAACCATATTTTTATAGGAAAATACTACAAAGGCAACATATCAAATGTTGAAACTGAGAAATTTGATTGTTTATTGAAAAATATTTGCCCATTTTGAATTTGATGCCAACAACATGTTCTAAAAAAGTTGGGACGAGGGCAACAAAAGGCTGGTAAAGTTGTGAAATGCTATAAAACACCTGGTGGTTGATTGACAACAGATCAGTAACATGACTGGGAATAAAGAGCATCTCAGAGAGGCGGAGTCTTTCAGAAGTAAAGATGAGGAGGGGGTCACCACTCTGTGAAAGACTGCACCATCAAACAGTGCAACAATTCAAGAAACGTTTCTCAACATAAAACAGCAAAGAACTTTTGCTTTTCATCATCTACGGTACAAAATATCATTAAACGATTCAGAGAATCTGGAGAAATCTCTGTATGTAAGGGTCAAGGCCAAAAACCAGTATTTGCTGGCCGTGATCTTTGGGCCCTCAAACAGCACTGCATTAAAAACAGACATGATTCTGTAGTGGAAATCACTGAATGGGCTCAGAAACACTTCTGAAAAACACTGTCTATGAAAACAGTTCATCACTGCATCCACAAATGCAAGTTAAAACTCTAAAAAGCAAAGACAAAACCATATATGTACAGGATCCAGAAACGCTGCCACCTTCTCTGGGCCTGAGCTCATTTAAAATGGACTGAGGGGAAGTGGAAAAGTGTCCTGTGGTCCGACGAATCAACATTTGAAATTCTTTTTGGAAATCATGGACACTGTCCTCCGGGCTAAAGACCACTCAGCTTGTTATCAGTGCACAGTTCAAAAGCCAGTATTCATGATGGTATAGAGGTGCATTATTGCACCTGGCATGGGTGACGTGCACATCTGTGAAGGCACCATTAATGCTGAACGATATATACATGTTTTGGCAACATAAGCTGCCATCCAGACGACGTCTTTTTCAGGAAGGCCTTGATTATTTCAGCAAGACAATGTAAAACCACATTCTGCATGTATTACAGCAGCATTGCTCCATATTAAAAGAGCCGGGGTGCTAAACTGACCTGCCTGCAGTCCAGATCTGTCACCACTGAAAACATTTGGTGCAATATGAAATGAAAAATACGACCAAAAAAAAAACCTGAACTGATGAGCAGCTGAAATCCTGTATCAAACAAGAACAGAAAACATTTCACTTTCTAAACTACAGCAGCGTCTCCTCACTTCCCAAACGCTTACAGAGTGTTGTTAAAGAAGAGGTGATGAAACTCAGTGGTAAACAGGCCCCCGTCCCAACTTTTCTGGAACATGTTGTTGGCATCAATTTCGAAATGGTCATATATCTTTCAAAAAACATTAAAATTTCTCAGATTCAACATCTGATATGTTGTCTTTGTACTATTTTCCTTTGAAAATATGGTTTACATGATTTGCATATCATTGCATTCTTTTGCGCAGTGGGTAGCGCTGTCGCCTCACAGCAAGAAGGGCCTGGGTTCGATTCCCGGCCGGGCGACCGGGGTCATTTCTGTGTGGAGTTTGCCTGTTCTCCCCGTGTCTGCGTGGGTTTCCTCCGGGTACTCCGGTTTCCTCCCACAGTCCAAAAACATGCAGTCAGGCTGATTGGACATGCTGAATTGCCCCTAGGTGTGACTGTGTATGTCTGTCTGTCTGCCCTGCGATGGACTGGCGAACTGTCCAGGGTGTATCCTGCCTTCCGCCCAATGACAGCTGGGATAGGCTCCAGCACCCCACCGTGACCCAGAAGGATAAGTGGTTTAGATGATGGATGGATGGATGGATGGATGCATTCTATTTTTATTTACATTCTGCACAGCGTACCAACTTTTTTGGAAATGGGGTTGTAGAGTAATAATAAGAATAATAATCCTTATTTATAGAGCACATTTCATACTAGTGGCAGCTCAGAGTGCTTTACAGACAGAGTTTTAATATAAAATCATATAAGACGATAACACAGATCAGCTTAAAGAGATGAAGACCAAACAGCCGTAGAGTTTTCCTGAAGCTCTGAGTTAAAGAGCTGTGTTTTCAGATGTTTATTAAAAGTGAGCTCTGAGCTCGACTGTCTAATAAAAGCTGAGCTGAGCTCCACAGTTTAGAAGCAGAATAACTGACAGAGTCTCTCCATGTTTTCTGAAATGCTACATTTCCTGCTTTACATTCTGTTTCAGCTGGTTTTGGCTAATTTCTCAGTTTCAGCATCAGTTGATCACTGTAATCAGCAGAACTGACTGTGTGCTGTTTGAAGTCAGAGACGCTGACGGAGCGTTTCAAGGCTGTTTACTGTGATCGTCTGTCTGTAAATGAAGAGCTGAAGGACTGTTGGGTTTGAACAGCTGCTACAGACGCGTTTGGGTTTTAGAGAGTAACTCAGAAGTAAAGTAATGAAAAATTAGGTTACTTTTGCCTTTTATTCAGGCAGTAATCAGTGGCGTTATTAGCGATCTGTATTGTCGTTATTACTTTTCTTTTTTCTACTCCAACACCGGTGCTATAAACGGTCAACTCATCCCATCCAAACACAATGGGGAAGGAAATGAAACTGCATGATTAGTTTATTTTCTGAGTGAAAGCAAGTTAACACATCCTCTACGGAGAACGGACGTGGGCATGTTTGGATGTTGAATGTTTTTCTCATCTCTATTAGAATGTCTAACTGAGCGTAGTTTATATACAGTACATATACGCTTATAGAATAAACTTATATATATATATATATATATATATATATATATATATATATATATATATATATATATAAGTTTATATAATTGACCCTTTTTTTTCTTTACATTCATCCTTGATATATCAATGTTTGTAGTTTGTGTTGGGTCTTCATTTTGTCATTGTATGAATATCTAAAACCTTTAAAATCAATAAACAACATTTTCGAAAAAAAAATGCACTTAAATGATGCACTTTCCTGAAAATTCTAGCTCACAATTTGTATTTATTTGCAGAGTTTAACATACAAAACAAACAAAATATCAAATGTAAAAGGTGCCATGACTTTTGCACAGGCCAGCTTTTATGTTTTGTTTATTTTTCCAGTGTTAAATTCAATAAATAAACACTAATAGAGTATTAAATGTGCAGAAGTGTGTCTCTGTAGAGGAAGCGTTCACTTATTTACACTTCAGTGCAATGAATGAACAGATAGATGGATGAATGAATGAATGAATGAATTAATGAAATGCATGGATGAATGAATGAATGAATGAATGAATGAAATGGATGGATGGATGAAAGGATTGATGAATTAATGAATGAATGAACAGATGAATTAATGAATGAATTAATTGATGGATGGATAGATGGACTGATGAATGAATGAATGAATGGATGAATGAATGAAATGCACAGATGAATGAATGAATGGATGGATGGATGAATGAATGAATGAATGGATGGATGGATGGATGGATGAATGAATGAAATGGATGAATGAATGGATTGATGAATGAATGAATGAATGAATGAATGAATGAATGAATAGATGAATGAATGAATGAAATAGATGGATGGATGGATGGATGGATGGATGGATTGATGAATGGATGAATGAATGAAATGGATGGATGGATGGATGAATGAATGAAATGGATGAATGAATGGATTGATGAATGAATAAATGAATGAATGAATGAATGAATGAATGGATGGATGGATGGATGAATAGATGAATGACTGAATGAAATGGATGGATGGATGGATGGATGGACGGATGGATTGATGAATGGATGAATGAATGAATGAAATGGATGGATGAATGAATGGATTGATGAATGAATGAATGAATGAATGAAATAGATGGATGGACGGATGGATGGATGAATGGACTGATGAATGAATGAATGAATGAATGAATGAACCTACCGGGGAGCCTGTTTGTCCTCGTCATCGTGCATGAGGTTCTGAACTAGCTGGAGGATGGTCACCACGTTCTGACCACTGAAACAGAAGAGACAACATTAATCAGACACATCTTAAAGGAACATTCTGGCAGTTTTAACCAGGAGTCGTATTACAGACGGAATTCAGTTCAGTAGCTATTCCAGAATAACAGCTCCTACCTTCATAATCTGATCATGAACTCCAGATAAGAAAACAGCATCACACAAACATCCTAACTGGACTAAACCTCCTAAATCCTGTCCTAACTTTAGGATGAACCCCAACAGGGTCCTCACTTCTGTTTAAGGTCCGTTTCTATGGTTTTTAGGCAGCTGAGTCAGCAGCATAGTTCACTACCAGCATAATGAGCTCCATTTATTCCTACTGTAAAACGCTGCTTTCACTGTGAGATGATTTTCTTTTCTAACTCTGCGTTTTAAAGATCTCAGACGCTGCAGACTCGATCTCCACCGTCCTCTGATCACCTTCATGTGTTAATGTTGATGATGAAATATTACAGTGATGGTGGTGAATAATGAGGAGACGGAGCTGAACGTGTGTCTGTTTATTAGGAGGAGTAACGTTAGCGCGCTCGGCTAAAGCGTTTGGGAAATGGAGACTGAAACTGGGGAGCGGCGACGCTCTGATAAACAGCAGGGGGCGCTCTCACAGTATTCATAGCTTACAGTTTAGCAGAATTTAGTTCTGTTTGACCTTTTTTACATCAGTAACTGTAGAAATTGGAAAAATGAATTTCGATCTGAGCTTCTCATTAAGGATTGTATGGCCACGAATCAGATACGTATCCGATCTAGGACCACACATGAAAGTGGCTCAGGTCGGATTTGAAAACATCCGATCTGAGTCACATTAGGGAAAAAAAATTGATTTGAGCCACTTCAACTGCTAATGTGGACGCAGCCTAAGAGCCGACTGTGATTGGTCGAGAGGCATGTCAATCATAATTTTGCCAGTGGTCAGCAGCTGAAGCACAGTGAGGTGAAAATGTGACTGAAACTGAGAGGCTCTTTGATGTGGACTCACTCTCCCTGTAAAGGTCCTGGAATATCTCTCCAGCTCAGCCTCCGCCTCCCAGCGTCCTGCACCGTCTCTCTGCAGGACAAACACACATTATACTCACTACATTACACACATCAACACTGAGACAACCTCATATCTCCCAAACTGAAAAGGCACTGTAACATAAAAGGGCCCATATCATTAAAAAAAAACACTAAATTTCTCTCTTTTTTGAAGTAAAAGTATTTTAGAGTATGTAAATACTATGTAAATACTATGTAAACTAATACAGCCGGATTTGAATTCACTGTTGCTGTGATGTCATAAAAACTGACTCATTTACATATTTCTGCCTATTCAAGTGTGGACACAGTACAGAGCAGCCAATCACAGGAGAGCTCATTAACATATATATATGTACACCGATTAGGCATAACATTATGACCGCCTCCTTGTTTCTACACTCATTGTCCATTTTATCAGCTCCACTTACTATATAGTGGTCCATCTGTTTCTCTGCATACTTTGTTATATATATGTATATATATATATATATATATATGTATATATGTATATATATATATATATGTGTGTGTGATATACGGGCCCTTTAATGTGCATTAATGTACAAGGATGCATTTAGGGTTTTTTGCACAGGAAGAAGTGTGTTTGGTGAATTTTAGACAAAGACAGACAGAGACAATAATAAAATAAATAATAAAACATACACAGTACTGTGCAAATGTTTTAGGCACCTGAGAAACTTAGATTTAAAAAGCTGTTTATCTGGGCAGGAATTGCTCGTTTGCTCAAAAAACACTAATATTCGAATAAATCCAGAAAATATTAATAGAATAAGCAGTAATAAAATATTATTCATAGTTATCATCCAGTACCTGCTTCATCTAATCAATACTTCATTATGTTCAATCAGCTGTGTCTGATGACATTTGATAAGTTGTGATATCTGAAGTGCAGCGAGACGTCAGGAGCCAAACCTGTGTTCTTCTCACTAGGTCACATGATATCAGCTACTTTTCTGAGCAAATAAAATTTGTGTTACTTTCTACTGCATTTTAGTTCATTTGCATTTGGGTCATTCAACTGACGTGCATTTTGTTATGTCCAAGCCTGTTGTTTTCCCCAAAATAATTTAATAAATATATGACACACATTAAATTGTTCAACAATGCCTCTTTTATGTGAAACAATTTTCAGTGCATCCAAATAAAATTCATTTCACCTCCAGAAGTCTGAAAAGGTCAGGTGGTGCAGCCGTTCCAACCATATATGTTGATTAAGCAAACTATCAAACGAGGTAAACTAGTTATAAAATTCGAAATAATACAGTTTGGCGTGATTTTATGTTTGAAAACTTTAAAATAAAAGCCACATTGAAAACTAAGGCAACTTTAAAAGTGCTCAACTCACTGAAAAACTTTTGTCTGCAAGCTCTTATGCCCTCAAATGTCAGGCGGCACGACCAAAAACAAATGACTTTTATTATGACATGCTTTTACGAAATAGGGGCCAGGGTATTGCCTCATAAAGAAGACCCCAAGTGACCTTCATGGTGCAATGCCGAGGTCACAGATTTAGTAAAAGTGTGATGTTTGAGTTGTGCTTAGAACGGTTCTCTTTACCATGTCAGGTGTTCTGACCTCAGGAGAACCATGAAAAGGTGGAATTATTAATAAGCAAACTCAAGTTTGAAGACAAAGGTTTCTTCGGGTGTCTAAGTAGATGCCTGTTTAAGATGAAATTAGTCTGAAAAGTCAGGCGGCGCAACCAGTCAGTCAGATGGAGCAACAGACCAGCACAGTTTAATAACTGAAACAGGCAATTAAAGCTTTGATAACACTCAATATATTTAAGGTACAACATGCACATGGATATAAATGCAAATATATATGCAGATATAAAAGTGCACATCATGTCCTTTATAGGTTTAGTCATTTCTGAAAACCTTATGCGTACCTGACCC